CTATTGAGTATATATATACTTATAGATAGAGAGAGAGAGAGTGTGTGTGTGTGTGTGTTTAATCTGTTTGAGGCTTTGGGCTAATATAGTAATAATTTGTAAATAAAATAGAATGGGCTGAGTTGTGCCATTCTCAATTTGCATCTTGTGACTGGGTTTACTGATCAGAATAGACCATCTTAATGGCTTTGGCTCTTCCCTAGATCTCACCAGCTCTGATGCTCAGTAGAGAGGAGGAAACATTTCTATGGCTTTATTGTAATCTACCTCTATTAATATGGAGCCTCACTCACAAACAAAATTAATTGATAAACATAAATTGAAAAGTAAAGTCTTTTAAAGTATCTTAGCTTATTATAGAACAGGATATATCCTGTGGTATGTATGTGTGTGTGTGTGCGCGCGCGTGCACGTGCGTGCGTGTGGTTGTATTTGTATTTTACCACTGGGGATGTGTCCCTGGTTTTCCCTCCTGCACTGTGATTCCACCCTTGGAGGAACGTGTTCTCACCTAAGCAGTGTGTCTTTAACCGTGCAGAAACTGATGGGCATCTGTCATCCGCTCTTTCAGTTGCTTAGTCCTTCCTGAATTCACTGTGTCCGTTCTTTAACTTGGTAGGTGCTATGAAGAACCAAGCCCTAGTTTCACGTTGTCCTGAGACATCTTCAAGAGACCAAGAACCCTATAGTATATTGGTATCCTTGATAAATTTTCTAATAGAATTTCATTTTTAAGATTCCTGACGTTTATGGTTTACTTCTACTTTAATTATAAAACCTCAAGAATGTATGCAATTACTGATGAGCATTTATTATGCATGGATATGATAGAGAAAGTATTAGAATTAAAAATAAAATTTGCATGTCCATCAAAATTTATTGTGTTATCAAAAAGGCCTATACCATATTTTATTTTTATTTAATTATTTTTCATACTTAAAAATATCCCATTTGATACTTTTATTTTATACAAAGGGAATTAATATTGGAAGAAGCTAGGGTACTATAAGATGGTTCAGAGCTGAAGGACACTTGTAGAATAACAGAATTTGACTCTGAGTACCCATGTTGTGTTGCACACTATTACCTGTAATTGCAGATATAGGGATCCAATGCCTCCGGCCTCTGACAGTGCCTCAACTCACAAGCCCGTACCTACAGCAGGTACACATAATTAAAAGATGAACAAATGAAAGATCTGCTACTATAATACTGAAATATTCAGTATCTCAAAAGGAATATAACTAGTTTTTGTAGCCAGTATCCATGGATCTTTCACTCTTCTGATAATGACCCCAGAAAGAAGTCCTGAAAAATGACTGAAAACGTCACTGTAGGAGACTTTTATCTTTGTGTTTGTTTTGTATAGGAGGGCATTTCCAGTAATGTTTGTTTGAACATCCTCACAAGTGGAAGTGCTATTTTGCAGTTTATTTTTGTCCATAATATATTAATAAATTTTCATTTTGAAAATGCAAGAGTAGTATGAACTTATAGAATAAAAATGAACCTAACAGTTCACCTTTTTCTATGTTACTCAAACTCTGTGCCACTTTATCAAGTCTACTTTGTGATTTTACTTATGTGTGAGTTCACGTGTATATATGTACATGTATACACACATACACAAATCACACTGGAAGTATGATTCTGTAATACTGATATATGGGTGTGAGTTCATCAGCTACATCTAATGCACCTCTCTGAGTGGACATGGGAGTGCTAGTACAAAATTGGCCCAGTTTCCCTCTGATTTTCCCATAGAACTAAAACTTCTCTAGACAAAAGTGTGTTTGAGAAACTACGAAGGGTCAAAGTATGAAGACTAACATACACATAACTACATATTCTAGTTAAATTTCAGAAACTAAATGAACATTAAAATGTGAAGTCATTTATAATCTTAAAATGGAGAAGATGGTAAACATTCACAGGACAGATTGTGTGTGTGTATACATATACATATACATATACATATACATATACATATACATATACAT